TATTTTGGCTATGTTGCATATTTTTGAAATTTCTTTAATTGTTTGAAACTTATATATAAGAAAATATGGAGTATTGGACTTTTTACTTGTGTTATATATGCACCACTATGTTGTTATTTTGAAACTTGCTAATGTCCTATATTATTGATTATTGATTTTTGGAACTTCGTGAGTTTTTACTAATTTCAAGACATGAGAATAAAAACCGTAAAACCCGGACCGGACCGACCCGTTTCAAACGGGCCGGGTAATTTCCGGTTCCTATTTTGAAAATTGTAATACCCGGACCGGACCGAACCGTACAATGGAACCGGCGGTTCCATTTTATTTTGTATTACCCACCCCGACCCGGCCCGTGCCCAGCCCTAGTTGTTAGGTTTTAAATGGTCAAATTTTGGAATGGTCTCGTTCCAAAATTTGTCTGCGGGCCGAATTTGTCTGACTAAAAACTATTTTTACTGCGTATATATACACAATTTTTACTTATAAACTTATAGGGCACTACGTCATCAAAAACGACTTGATTTTCATTTTTTTTTTCTGAAAAGGATAAATTATGCGTAGTACATAGGAGACTATAATATGGCCTGACCCCAGCAGCCTCACATCGACTAGATTTTCCATCTCACGTGCTTCTAAATTAAATTAAATATACTCCGTATACCCGGATGATCCTAGTGGCCTCACAGTTAAATACGGAGCATATAATATTTGATGAAAATATGTAAAGATTTGATTGAAACATATACGATTCGAGAATATTCTTGATTCTATAAGATTTGGTTTTACTTGAAGGATATTAACACATTACTCCGGAGTACTCCATTACTCCGTATTATAGCTCGAAATAGGAATTTTTTATTTCATACGGAGTACTTTTTTTCGTTGAAAGGTAAATATATACTACCTGACTGATTGTCAAAAATATATATCCAAAGAATATCCCCTCGTAAGCTTAAGCATCATAGAACGAATTGCCTAAGCATCTAATCAAAGAGTTTAAACATTACATCTCATTAGTAAAGAAGTAAAAAACTTTGTGCATTTTTTCTCATAACACCATACCAACAAAGAAGTATCTAGTATATCAAGGCTTTCCATTCTTCCCCTAAGAAAAGCAGTTCTTTCATCCTTTCCAATAGCTTTCCAATAGCAAGGAACCCCAAAAACTTTAGCAAAAGATCACCACAGAACTTCTGCCAAGGAAATCCTATCCCTTTGCTAACCCAATTGTTGAAGCATATTAATTGGATAAAGTTTAAACATGATTTTATTTACCAATAGTCTAATTTGCTAAAAAATCTTACTTGTTGATATCACCTTGTTAGCAAACAATGTTTCATTCCTAGCTTTCCAAATCAAATACACCGTGCACAGTAAGGATAGTCGCACCCCTTTGCTTTTCATCTTCGCCCCGCTATAGTCCCTCTTGCACATCTTCACAACACTTAGCGGTGTCGTGGTCTTTCTCTTTAGATTTAGCCAAACACCTACTTTTCCCCACACCAAGCTAGAAAAGTGGCATTGGAAAAATAGATGGGAGACTGAATCCAAATGGGCTTTGCAGAAACAACAAGCTCTATCCATATCCATGAACAATATATTCTCACAAGTAGGGAGTCTATTTCTCATACCAAACCACATAATGAAAGAATATTTAGCTAGGATATACCTTTTCCCAATGAGGTGCATCCAAGGCTTACTTGGACCTTTAATCCTGTGTGCATCATAAACCTTTCCTGCAGCAAGTTTTCCTTGAAAGCAGATTGATTCCATTTGGTGAATAGCAGCATCAGTACCTCCCATGCTTTCTACAAGTTGCTCTCTAACCTTTAAAAGCTTAATAACCAAATTGGACACCCCAAAAGATGATGTCCATTCCCATATATTTCTGCCTTTAAGATACACTGTATGGACCCACTTTACCCATAATGTGTCCTTCTTCATGTGAATACTCCACATGGTATTTGCCAACAATGCTGAATTCCAGAGTTTGCAATCCTTCAGGCTTGATCCCCCCTCTTTCTTTGGTTTACACACATTCACCCAAGCCACTTTAGCGTTAGAACCTCCCCAAAGGAACCGCCATTGGAATGGGAAATGATTGGAGCCAATAAGATTGGACGCCCTGGATAACTGTCTTGATAAGCTCTAATTTGCCAGCTCATACACTTTGTTTTCCATATGGAGAAAAACCCTTGAATCTTTTCAATCATTGGGGATGATTGAACAGCATATACCCTAAGAGGGGCCTAGGGTATCCCTAAATACCTTACTGGGAATTGGCCTTCACGGAATCCAACTACATTCAGAATAGTTTCCTTTGCTTATCCATTAATACCGGCAAGAAAAAATATTAGACCTGTTTATATTGATGGCAAGACCTGTCACCTTATGAAACTTTTCCATACACCTCAAAAATGTCATAATAGATGGGAGATCCCCTCTAGAAAACAACATAAGATCATCCGCAAAAAGAAGGTGTGATATTCGCATTTCATCACACTTGGGATGAAGCTTAAAACATGATTGAGATGTCTCCAAAGTGAGCATTCTGGATAGGTATTCCATGCACAAGAGAAAGAGTGTAGGTGACAGTGGATCCCCTTGTCTTAGTCCACTTCTCCCTCTAAAGAAACCATAAAGTCCTCCATTGACTGACACAAAAAATGTAGGTGTTGAGAGGCATTCCCAGATCCAGCCCATAAATTTAGGTGGGAACCCAAATTCAACCAAGGTATCTTTAAGAAACTCCAAACTAATAGTGTCATATGCTTTCCTTAGATCAATCTTTATGAGGCGTCTAGGTGAAATCGTTTTCCTGGAATACCCTCTGACTAACTCTTGAGCCAGAAAAATGTTATCTGTAATCTCCTGGCCCTCCACAAAGGCACTTTGAGCTTGATTGACTGGATCAGCCAGTAACGGTCTCATCCTATCTGAGAGAATCTTGGTTATAGTTTTGTAGATCACATTAGTGCAGGAGATGGGTCTGAAGTCGGCAGCAGATGGATTGTGTGAACTCTTCGGGATCAAGGCAATGCTAGTATGATTTATTTGCTTTAGAAGTTTTCCATGTGTGAAGAATTCTAGTACTGCATTAGTGAAATCATTTCCCATACAAGCCCAGTTCTGCTGAAAAAATCCAGATGAGAAACCATCTGGTCCCGGAGCTTTGTCCTCCTCAATATCAAACAAGACATTTTTTATTTCATCAATTGTAATGGGTGCCACTAATTTTTTTTCCCCTGACTGATTAATAACACTCCCTCCTTTTATGATGTTACTGTCCAGCGATATACTCTGTGATGATTTACCTAATAGCTCTATTTTCTTTTGGACCGTTTTCAGTCCCAGACCAAATCAGATCAGGCTTAAACAGACCAGATCATACCAGACCAGACTTAAACAGACCAGACCAGACCAGACTTCTATAGTTATAAAATACACAAAGATCAGACGTCTGCCAGACCAGACCCATTCAGACTAGACCAGACCAGACTTAAACAGACCAGATCATTCCAGCAAATTTCAGTCCAAAAGAAAACATCCTGAGAGTCACTGAAGACTGAAGAGGGTGGAATGAAACAGTGAAAATAGTTATGGGACAAATTAATATTATTTTTACATATTTTTAAATTACTCAATAATCTCCCTGCACATAAGCATTGAATATATACAGCTTGATCTACTGGTGAGGGGTGATTATTTAACAAACAACTTGTGACTTTGTGAGTAGGCCTGGACTCGGGCCGGGCGGCCCGGCCCGGCCACTGTAGCAACCGGCCCGGCCCGGTGGCCCGGTCCACCGGCGGTTCGGGTCGAACCGGCCCGGTGGTTCCCGGTTCCGGTCCTGGGCCTTCCATATGGTGAACCGGCCCGGCCGGTTCGGGCCCGGTCCGGGCCGGATTTTAATTTTTTTTTTTTTTGAAAATTTTTTTAAATCTTGGGTTGGAATAGGTATTTTGGGCCATTTGAGGTGGTTTGGGGTGGTTTGGGGTTGAGGGGGAGGGGTAGGGGATTAAATAGGAGAACAAAAAAAAAAAAATTGGGCCGGTTAGGCCCGGCCCGGTTTGGCCCGGAACCGGAACCGGCCACCGGCCACCGGCGGTTCGGGCCCGGGCCTCCCCTTTCCTGGCCCGAGGCCCGGCCGGGCCCAGGCCCGAACCGGGCCCGAACCGGCCCGAGTCCAGGCCTATTGTGAGTAAGATGTGTCGTATGCTAGCTTATTTTATTATACATACTTATATTCCAAGACTATTAATGGCAATATCATTTATAGCAGGTTTTGAGGGGAGGGCAGGTCACCTTTTAACCCCAAAGGCCCAAAGACCCAATATACATTTAGGATCGGGTATGATTGATGCTTTAAAATTAGATAGCTTACTCAGTTTATAATATAAAAACTCAAACAAACAAATATTTTGTTAAATTTGAATAATGCTTAAAGATTTCTTATCATTTTTTCTTTATAAACAAAAGTATCCTATACAGTATTATTCTTCCTGTTTCCTATAACTTCCTGTTTCCTTTATTGCTTGCTAGTACAAAGAAACACAGTGCCTCATCAAAAGCACAATATCACTGTTGAGATTACATTAGCCGAATACTCATAAAGAGAACAATTGATTGACAACAGAATTCAGTCGCACGTTTTCTTAGCTAATGCTTAGAGCTTTGAAGCAGCTCCCTTATCCAAAAACCAGACCAGTTCCCCTTCAGGTGAAACCATTTGCACAGGCAAGGAAATGGGATTTTTACTGCCACCTCCCAATGCTGTATAAACAGCATCTGCCTTGGAAGCCCCTGGTACAACAAGAGCAATGTTTGAAGAAGAGTTGATAACAGGCAACGTGAACGTGATCCTTTCTGGAGGAGGTTTAGGAGAGTCCTCGATGAATGTAACCCACTTCTCTTTCTCCTGGAGAAGCGGGTGACCGGGAAATAGAGAAGCAACATGCCCATCCGGACCCATTCCCAATAGCATTAGATCAAATTGTGGAAAACCGCTAGCCTCAGACATACGCACTATTTTGGTTTTGACCAAATGCTTGAGACGGGTCTCATAATCATCAGCTGCACCTTTAGCAGACAACACGTCATTAATGGCATACACATTATCAGCAGAAATGGATACCTGCAAAAGAAAAGGAAACTCTGTTTGGCTTTTCTCCAAGGTACTGTCTGGTTGCATTTATATTCTACACTTAAATATACTGCGTAGATCAATAAAATGGGAAAATGTAAAAATTAGGACAAGCTCATTGGGATTGAAATTTACTGGTGAGGTCTGTATGATATGATCCTATCTGAACTGTTTTGTTTAAGTAGTCTAGTCTGTTTAGGTCATCTACTAGTCAAGCTGATCTGAATTGGTATGGTAAGATATTATATGTATTATATTATGGTCTTGTTTTTTAAGTTTGAATTGTTCTTATTCATGGTCTGACTTGTGAGTTTTATTCCCTATTTGATTTGCAGTCTTGAGCATATCAGTTTCTATAATAGTTTGCTACCGGAAGTGTTTTCCCACCATTAATTTGACTATATTTGTCTTCTAAATCTTGTTAGAGCAGTTTAGGAGTCAACCAGTATAAACCTTCCATAAATACGTCTAAACCTTAATGGGAACTCCATTGAGAAAATTTGATTTCTTTAACTTCATTTTTCACACCTTTAAACTTTTGGGGTTTGAATTTGCCTTGTGTAATACGTAGTACTATCTATTAAATGCATCTTCATGAACAGATTTGACCCAAAAGGTTGTTGAAGACCTGAGGTCATCAGGTCACCCACTTGATCTTTAACTGATTAAAAAAACATCAAAGTAATATTTCGTCTTATAAATTAAATTTTCGTCTTAAGAAAATGCGACCCACCAGCTCTTATTATATTCCGTAAATCATTTCACTTTAAATGTCAACTAATCATTCACTGTCTTCTTCTTGCCATCTTATAAAATCATTTTCTGCATCTCTTGAGTCTAGAGTCTAGTTGACAACCTGTGTGTACTTTTGACTTTGGCACCATGCACTATTTGGTTCTTTTTTTCTTGGGATTTTAATGCTTCTTTAAATGCTATTTATTCTTACACTTTCCCACAGAATAGATCAGGTCCATCCGGAGGGACATAAGGCGCCGTCCGGCCAAGGCCATCAAAGGCCCTTCCCGGTGGAATGTTTTGATGAAATTTTTTGAGCATGTTCCTCATCAAGTCTAGTTCATCCATACCAAATTTCAGATAAAATTTTTAGCTGAAATTTGGTATGGATGAACTAGACTTCATGAAGAACATGCTCAAAAAAATTCAACAAAAAAACCCACCAGGAAGGGCCCCAAATGGCGACGGCCGCCGTCCCTCCGGCTGGACAGGATCGAGCCTCCACTTTCCCATATGTAAATAGCATTCTCATGCTTGGTGTCAACTTAAATGTCAAGTTTACATCACCATTCCCCCTGTATTGTGTGGCCCTTAAGCTCACGTAACCTCTTAAGCTACTCCACAAATTTAATTTTATTCCTTATCCCAGCATATTACATTGTGGTCCGTTTGACTCTGTAAATTAGCCGGTCTGTAAAAGACTTGACTTTGGTTTCGTTTAATCCCCTCCATCCGATTATATATGGCATTACTTTTCCATTTACCTGCATATATTATCTCTGAAATGAATTTCAAGCACCATCAACTACTATTAAATTCTCTGCAATAACACACGCACACACACCAGAATAGCCTTGTAGTCAAATAGTCAATACTATTACTATGTTTATCCAACCTCTTGTTCCTAAAGTAGATCATTGCCCGCATGTGTTTCACCCCAAAAGGTTTCCAAGTGATTTTTCCATTCCTAAAACCACGTGTGAGCTGTTGAAAATAAGTGTTATAGACGGCAAAACCCAAAATGGTCTCTTCCCAATTCATTTTTTATTCCATGCCCAAATTAAAAATTCTCTGGGAATAGTCTGATGATATCCATCAAAGCCTCATTGATATATAATTTCTACGTTTGTGGTAATACCTCACTACCAGCTCGCACTGCATACAGTGATACAGGTATAGACACAACATAGTGCCCTTATGGAACAACCACTTCTCAACTTATTAACGTAATCAGCTCAATAAGAATTAAGCCAAAACCAACTTATATGACATTGACTAAATACTAAATACAGCTTATAACTTTAAATACAGCTGTCTTTCTTTTCGTTTTGATAAACAACATTTCTATCTTTGTTTAATATCCTCAATACTCACCTACTAAAGGTCTAAAGCTATTACTCCCAACCACACATCATCAGGGAAAACATGAAAGTCAAATGGGAAAATTTTGGCTCATTAAGAAACGTGAAAAGCCAAAACATGAACCTGATGAAGAGATGGAGGGGGTAAAATAAATAATAAAAAGAGTAGCGCATTAGTCAATAGGAGGCTGTTGGACCCGGAATTTGTGAATGGATGAATTAATAAGCAGCTCGGCCCAAAACATGAAGCAAATACATGACGCCCAATCTGGGAGAAGAAGCGGATAAAACTTGTGGACACATCATTGAGGAGATAGAAGTGGCAGCTCCCAACTGTTGGCCGCATGCAATGGAGGAGTAAAAACTGACGGACAGTTAAGACAAGGAGGTAACAAGCTTTTGGTGTATACATAGAGTAGGTCATATTGCTTTAAAGGCACAATCAATTAGATCACGAACACATTTACTCTCTTGTATTCAAGCTCTCTGTCCATCAATATACATGTTATTCTTTATTATTCAATTTATTGAGATTAATTCGTGTACGATCCCTAAATAGGGCTAAAAAACGTGCGTATATTCCAAAATAGGACTGTCATGTTTTTATTCCCAAAATAGGAATAACATGACAATCCTATTTTGGAATTTTCAAACGTATTTACTCCTATTTCGGGAATTCTCCCGTTTATTTTTTGCCTAAAGAGAGGCATACATGAAGAGTAAAACATACTGACTTAGTCTGACTATGAGACTCTGGGCACTGCTTAATCTCAACCCCTTAAAAAGCTTAACTCTTTGGTTATTGTTCGGTTCAAATGGAGGGGATGGGAATTAAGTAGGGTAGATTCCCATCTCCCCCCTTGTTAAGTTAAAACATTCTGTAGGTAGATTGGCTTAATCTTCTTAGTACTCTCTTCCCTTCCACTCAACTCCATTCCGTCCTGGCCTCCTGGAACTAAACAGACACTGGAGACTGACTGAGCATAATGTAAAACGATACAATCATCCACATTTAGATATAACAAGTGTACTAGCAATCATCCACACTAGCCAAAGAATATAGAATAGCAACTTAATCATGGCTGTTTCATTAAAATTCATTTTGGGTTCTTCATGGTACTGTGCACTATCCAAAGACGAATGCTTTGAAATCAGGAAGTGCCACAAGCTGTCCGATTGCTCAGGCGCACGAATTGCAAAGATTTAATCACAATATAATATACCTTTGATAGAAAACCATCATAAGCCAGCAAGTAATTGCTATCGGGATGATTCTTCGGAACTACACGCTCATCCACCCAGAAAATGTGCCATTTCGACCAGTCTACAGAGTCAACATAAGGAGGTTCCAGCAATTTCCTGCAGTTGAAACCCAAACGGTCAGGCATTGATTAGACTTAACAATAATTATAGAAATGATGATAGTAATGAAATGTAGATGCGGGAGAAAGATTAGTGCATTACCCGAGACACTTGATGAGCGACCCACCGGAGAAAACTACGGAAAAGGAATCTCTCTCTTTGCAAATTTTCTCCGATAAATCGGAAGTGTATTTCGCCAAAGACGCCTTTAACTCCTCTTCGGAATCGAACACTTGTACTTTGGCCTTCCTCTCCCCAGTAACAAAATCAGCCATTGATGCTTTCGTGCGAGATCCAAACGGTCTAATACCCTTCTCTGTTAAGGACAAGCTTTTAGTACAAATGGAGCAGGACAGAGATGAGGCGGGGAAACCGTCGAATGACAACGGAACGGACGGCGTTGATCGTAGGAGAGGAAGCGATGGGGTAGGTAATATGCGCAAGTTAGCATATAGTAGTTGACTTGCGATGGGCATTGCGAAGACGACCGGTTTGATTTCCCTTGGGTTTTATACGGATACGGCAGTGTAGGGAGAGACTGGTAGAGTGTATACTGGCGGTGGGTTCCAACTTCCAAGAGTTTCATGTGGAAATTATGGTAAAGTACCGGTTTGATTTGTTATGCTGTTTCCATCTTCATATTATTAAGGGTCTGTTTGCAACAGGTTCTACTTTTAAAAAAGTGCTTTTTTTAATGAAATGGGGAGAAATGATTAAATAAAAGTTGATAGTGTTTGAGAAAAAAGTGATTTTGGAAAGTAAAAGTGGGTAGTTTTTGGTGAAATAAGTGTTTTTTGTGTAATAGAAAAAGTAAAAGCACTTTTGACGCGGAAGCCGAGAAAAATAAAAGTTGTAGTGTTTGGGAAAATAAGTGTTTTTTAAAGCCAAAAACTGAGAAGTGCTTTTTTAAAATGAGTTGCAAACCAACCCTAAGTCCTTTGGTACCTCTTTGCTTTCGCGTACCACTCTTTCTATTAGAGAGTGGAACTTCTCACTCATGTTACCAAATATTGTAGTATGGTAGATGCATTACAATATTTTATTTTGACTAGGATTGATATTACTTATGATGTACATTTGGTTTCCTAGTTTATGCATGCTCCACGTAGCACTCACCTTTTGGTTGTGAATCGTATTTACAGATATTTGCAGGGTACTACAGAGTATGAGTTATGACTTTAGGCTAATCGTGATATCTCTCTCATTGTTGCCTATTTTGATGCTGATTGGGCTGGTTGTCTGGATAGCAGTCGTTCCACTACTGGTTATGCTATTTTCCTCGGTCCAAATCGAATTTCTTGGCCGTCAAAGAAGCAGCCCACAATTTCCAAATCCTCTACTGAAGCTGAGTACCGTGTCATTGCTTACACCGTCCAGGACACTCTTTTCATGCATTCCCAGATTGCTGAGATGGGTATCACACTCTCTAGTCCAATTCAGCTTCGTTGTGATAATGTCTCTGCCTCTTATCTGGTTGTGAATCCTATTCAGCATAATCGTAGCAAACATGTAAAAATTGATCATCACTTTGTCAGAGAACATGTTTTTCACGGAAATCTTGTGGTCTAATATGTTCCTACTCAATTACAATGAGCTGACACTTTTACTAAAAATTTATCTAGTTAGCGTTTTAAGTTTTTGCGTTTCAATCTGCGCGTTGTTTTTCCCTACACAGATTGACGGGATGTGATAATCTATGAGTTTTTGCTACTTTTAGTCTTTCGACTATTATGTCACCGACATTTTTAGTACTCGGCTTTGAGTTTTTCCACTTTTAGTCCTTCGACTATTTTGCGACAAACACTTTTGATACCTGTCTTTGAAAATTTTCACATTTAGTCTTTCGACTTTCATAAAAGTGACACTTTTGGTCCTTCAACTATTATAATTGTGACATTTTTAATCTTCTACTTAATTATTATATCAAATTCATAGTGGGGGGACTAAAAGTGTCAATTTTATAATACTGAGGGACTAAATGCGGAAAACATTGAAATTGAGAACTAAAAGTGTCTTTTGCACTGTAATAGTCGAATTCTAAAAATGGAAAAATTGAAAGTTGAGTACCAAAAGTGTCACTGACTCAATAGTTGAGGGACTGAAAAGGGAAAAAACTCAATAATCTATAATATCGGGATATATTTATAATTTCCTTATTATCTATTTATTATAAGAGACCATTTGGTAACACGAAAATCGGTTGTTTTGGCTGATTCTGTTAAAATTTATGAAGTTCTGGCTGAAGTGGCTGCATTGGTTGATTCCGCTTATTTAAGAAAAACTTGTTTTTAATACGTAGTATATATTTTAGGGAAAATCGCACATTTTATTAATAAAATAAAGAAAAAATTATATGTAAAAATAGCTAAAATGATCATCTACAGTAACTTCAGCCAAAACAGCCAGAAAAGTAACTCCAACCTTACTTTTTCTGCTTATTACACAATTCAGCGCGTGAAAGTAAAAGATACGTATTTGGTGGAAAAGTTGGCTGATAAGCCTGATAAACTGAAAAATAGTGGTGCCAAACGGCCTCTAAATATATCATCAGGACACCCTATTACGGTCACCCTATTAGGGTGAATTGAACCATTATTCCATAATCACATATTTTCTACAAGTCCATTTATTCAGTATTTTAACATTCATCATAGTCAACTTTTGCTTTGTTTAGGATGATTAATGCTAATGATACTGGCAAAATATAATAAGAGTGGTAAATGGCGTGTACAGTGAGTACAGAACTACAGATCGTTTTCTTCATATATGAACTAAAACTAAAAAACAAGAATGAGCTGATCAAACGGAATGAAGAGAACATCATGCTAAGCTATGACCTATGGGGGTGGGTACATACACTCGGATTCAAGGCAGCGAGCTAGAATAGGGCCTAACTGGTGTGTTTGTGTGTATTAAGCTTATTACTTTCCAGAAGCTCTTGCTAGGATTGAAGCAGCTCTAGCTAGACTACTAGAGTACTAGCTAGTTGATCAAATAAACTTACACTACAAAAAAACAGAGATTGACAATGATTTTTGGCAGGGCTTTTCCAAAATTGGCAGGGACATGCCAATCCGTGCCAAAAACAGTTTGACACGAGTTATTTGACACTAAATTTTCGGTAAATCCACGTCAAATCAATGTCAATCCTGTAATTTTTTTGTAGTGTTAAAAAGCTCAAAACTCCCACCATTCCGAAGGCTCACGCCCACACGATGAGTCATCAAAAGGGCTGTTTAAGCTGCTTCGACTGCGACTGCACCACTGATCAGGTGAGGCAAAAGGGTCGCCGCCGCCTAGCTCCTCCAGATTCAAGAACTCCGCTTCCTCCTCCTCCTTCATTTGGTTATTCATATCCTCTGCTGCAAATTCATGACTTGTTCCTCTACTTAAGCACACCAGATACTCAAAATCTTCATTTTTGTTGTCCGAGTCAATATACCTCCTCTCCCCGCCTTGTGTATCTTGTCTTTTTCTATGCCCTGCTCCATTCCTCTCGAGCTCCCATCTTAATTTCTCTGACTATTGATCAAGATGCATGATGGTAAGATAAATTTTAAATGATTTTTTCCAAAAGGAATCAAATTATAAATTAAAATATACGTAAGGAATTTTTTCCATTTTTCACCCGTCTCATTAAGTTTGTCTCACATGATATCGACTAATATTTATATTTTTGCAATTCATTCTTATTGTATTCATATTTTGTTAAGTCTAGAGCAATCACATAATTCAATTCTTTTTAAATAACGCATTATAGTTCGGGGCGGAGATAGTAACACTTTTTAAATTAAGAGAAAAAGGTCAAATAAGGTCTTGTATTATTATGAAATCATCACATAAGACCATGTACTCAATAAAGTATCATATAGATATGTCTACTTATAAAAAGCAATCAGATGAGTCCTAGTGAACTTTTGACAACCTTGTAATTCCGGCTTTAGCATACCTCTAGCTACCTTTTCAAAATAGATTATAAGACTGACATGGACTATTTAGTCATGATTGGCTTAAATACAAAATAAAAATAACGACATGTAAGTAGATGTATTTAACGGTTAAGGAGGTTGTCAACGGATCGTTAGGATTCATTTGAAAACTTTTTATAAGTAGATGTATTTATATGACACTTTATTGAGTACATGATCCTATATGATGATTTAGTAGTAGTAGAAGATCTTATATGACCCTTTTTCCTTAAATTAATCCAAAACGAGACCTAATACAACACTTTTAGAGCATCTCCAATGCTAAAACGTTAACGGTGCATATGTGGCATGGAAAATAACCAATTAAAAAACAATAAGTACAATCTCTCTCTCCTTATTTGAAGGATCTTACCTCATTTTGGTAAGTTTTTCTTCACAATGTCAAACACAATGTCTAGATGTAGACATTGTGATTGACATTGCAGACAAAAACTTACCATAAACCCATAAGACCGTGGAAAGAAGAAGAAAGATATTGTATTTATTGTTTTTTAATTGGTTATTTCTCATGCCACGTATGCACCATTAACGTTTTAGCATTGGAAATGCTCTTACCTGTGGAACATACCAGTTCGGTTTGATAGAATTGAACTGTACAAAACTTCAACCAAATTATAAGTAATTTGATAACATTTGTTTCAAACTGTATGAAACTGTGAATAGAAATTGAGAAAAATCGGACCAAACTAAAAAGTTCAATAAATCCTTCGAAGTATTATTTAATTAAAAATAACAAATCCAAATTGAAACAAATTAATTGAACCAAACTCAAACATAATACTCTCTCTGTATTCTAAAGTTTGCTACATTTTCCTTTTTGGGATGTATTTAAAAGTTTGCTACACTTTCGCTTTTTGGTAAGTTTTTTCCTTTAAAAATACTTAACTACCCCTTACTTTACAACTTTTTATCTTCTCTTTCATACTTTTCCACCCTCTCTCCGACTTTTTCTACACAATTCATTACCCCTATTATTTCACCCTAAAATGTTGTGCCCAAACTTAATGTGGAGAACATTGGAATAGGAGTACAAAATATGATTTTTGTTTGGTATCATTATCGAATTTGTTTCAACTCCAGTCTAAAAAGATCGATGAAAACTGAACTCAAGTGACTTTTCAGACAAATGTTAAGCTTGCAAGGCTGGCAGAGATTGTGGGATATGTGACATTTGAGAAGTTGGTGTTGAAGACAACAAAAGAAAAATGACTGATTAAAAGCAGGGCCGGTCCTGACCATTTCTGAGTCTATGGGCGGTACGCTATTCTGGGTCTATGACTGTATACTTATTTGAAATAAGAATTATAATAAAAATATCCAATGAAGTTCATAAAATAAAGTTAAAAATCACTTTATTATTATTATTATTATTATTATTATTATTATTAATATTTAAGTTACACATTTGGGCAAAAGTAACAACACAAGTATCGGATAAAAAGAAAAAAACATCAGTAAAAAACATTTCTCGTAGAACAATATGAAGAAAATAATCAATAATCGCCTCATAGGCGGCCTTCTTTCTATTAATACATGACAAACAATAAAATTGCCACATATAACAACACTAAACTTTTTTTTTGAAAGGAAATATGAAAAAAATATCAC